TCCCCCACCACACTCTACACCCAGCCTCCCCCACCACACTCTACACCCAGCCTCCCCCACCACACTCTACACCCAGCCTCCCCCACCACACTCTACACCCAGCCTCCTCCACCACACTCTACACCCAGCCTCCCCCACCACACTCTACACCCAGCCTCCCCCACCACACTCTACACCCAGCCTCCCCCACCACACTCTACACCCAGCCTCCTCCACCACACTCTACACCCAGCCTCCCCCACCACACTCTACACCCAGCCTCCCCCACCACACTCTACACCCAGCCTCCCCCACCACACTCTACACCCAGCCTCCTCCACCACACTCTACACCCAGCCTCCCCCACCACACTCTACACCCAGCCTCCCCCACCACACTCTACACCCAGCCTCCCCCACCACACTCTACACCCAGCCTCCTCCACCACACTCTACACCCAGCCTCCCCCACCACACTCTACACCCAGCCTCCCCCACCACACTCTACACCCAGCCTCCCCCACCACACTCTACACCCAGCCTCCCCCACCACACTCTACACCCAGCCTCCTCCACCACACTCTACACCCAGCCTCCTCCACCACACTCTACACCCAGCCTCCTCCACCACACACTACACCCAGCCTCCCCCACCACACTCTACACCCAGCCTCCCCCACCACACTCTACACCCAGCCTCCCCCACCACACACTACACCCAGCCTCCCCCACCACAATAACAAAGCTCATACAAACTACCAAATATAAACATTACCTCGCAGTAGATTGATGAAGAAAGTGACCTTAGAGTGAGAATCACCGAATCCTTGGACGTTGAACAAGTGGGAGTTGCAGTGAAAAAGGCCTACCCAACGGCCTACTATCCCTTCCAAACGGCTTACTATCCCTACCAAACGGCTTACTATCCCTTCCAAACGGCTTACTATCCCTTCCAAACGGCTTACTATCCATTCCAAACGGCTTACTATCCCTTCCAAACGGCTTACTATCCCTTCCAAACGGCCTACTATCCCTTCCAAACGGCTTACTATCCCTTCCAAACGGCTTACTATCCCTACCAAACGGCCTACTATCCCTTCCAAACGGCTTACTATCCCTTCCAAACGGCCTACTATCCCTTCCAAACGGCCTACTATCACTTCAAAACGGCCTACTATCACTTCAAAACGGCCTACTATACCTTCCAAACGGCTTACTATCCCTTCCAAACGGCTTACTATCCCTTCCAAACGGCTTACTATCCCTACCAAACGGTAGGAATAGTCAAACAAACCTTTGACTTCAAGGACAAGAAGGTAGTTATTCATCTATATGAATCTCTTGGTCTCTCCCATTTGGACTGTTGAGTCCAAGGACGGAGACCTTGTCTTCAGAAGGACAGAGATCTTCTGGAGAAAGTTCAATACCAGGCGACAAAAATCCTCTCAGAACTAAGTCAACTCTCATACCAGGAACGGTTGAGGGCTTCAGGGCTGAACAAACCGGACATGACAGAGCTGATCTCATCGGAATTTTTAAAATACTGAACAATTTTGAGGATATTGATCCATACAACTTCTTGTATGGACCTTGTGTATTGAAGTCACCAGTCACACATCAATTATTTTGAGCTATTAAAGGCCAGTCAGTGTTGCTAGCACCCCAGCACGCTCTATCAAACGTTGTTTGGTACAAACATTTCTTTCTTCATCAATATTAACGTTCTTCTGAATGCCTCTTACCCTGTATATGACCTCCCTCCTTACCTCTATCTCACTGTATAAATATTATACATATTCATCAACACCAAGAATGAGAATCATACTTTTCTCAAAGCTGTCACTCTCCAAACATGTTTATTTGTTTATAACCTTTGGTCATACAGGTATTATAACCCCTGGTCACACAGACATCATAACCTCTGGTCACACAGACATCATAACCTCTGGTCACACAGACATCATAACCTCTGGTCACACAGACATCATAACCTCTGGTCATACAGACATTATAACCTCTGGTCACACAGACATCATAACCTCTGGTCACACAGACATTATAACCTCTGGTCACACAGACATCATAACCTCTGGTCACACAGACATCATAACCTCTGGTCACACAGACATCATAACCTCTGGTCACACAGGTATTATAACCTCTGGTCACACAGGTATTATAACCTCTGGTCACACAGGTATTATAACCTCTGGTCACACAGGTATTATAACCTCTGATCACACAGACATCATAACCTCTGGTCACACAGACATCATAACCTCTGGTCACACAGACATCATAACCTCTGGTCACACAGGTATTATAACCTCTGGTCACACAGGTATTATAACCTCTGGTCACACAGACATTATAACCTCTGGTCACACAGACATCATAACCTCTGGTCACACAGACATCATAACCTCTGGTCACACAGGTATTATAACCTCTGGTCACACAGGTATTATAACCTCTGGTCACACAGGTATTATAACCTCTGGTCACACAGACATCATAACCTCTGGTCACACAGACATTATAACCTCTGGTCACACAGACATCATAACCTTTGGTCACACAGACATCATAACCTCTGGTCACACAGGTATTATAACCTCTGGTCACACAGGTATTATAACCTCTGGTCACACAGACATTATAACCTCTGGTCACACAGACATCATAACCTCTGATCACACAGACATCATAACCTCTGGTCACACAGACATTATAACCTCTGGTCATAGGATCAATACAAAGTATAACTAAACCTCCAATCATTGTCACTCTCGCCCTAGACAGACACACATCCATAGCGAGGCTCCACATACATACAAAACACATACAGAAGATTGCCAAATCTTCTTTGTTGCAATTGTCTATTTTGAACGCACTTTCATCGTATAAGTTGAGTCGTTTTGCTATATATAGTCGAAATGGCTTGGTGCTTTCTCCCGATAATTCTCTTACCACATCCAAATATACTAAAACTATTCATCTTGTAGGATGAAAGTGCGAAAGTGCAATGCCACTCAGGCTTAATTACACTGAATTTATTTAATTTACTGAAACACTTAATTTAACTCAAGGAAAAAAGTTAAAAAAATGTGGGAGAGAGGTAAAGAGGGACGGAAAGAATAGTTGTGAAAGAAGAAGAGAAAGAAGGAAGAGAAGTAGAGAGGAAGGAATTGTAGGGAGTTGAGGACGTATGTTGACCAGACCACACACTAGAAGTTGAAGGGACGACGACGTTTCGGTCCGTCCTGGACCATTCTCAAGTCGATTGTGAGAACGGTCACAATCGACTTGAGAATGGTCCAGGACGGACCGAAACGTCGTCGTCCCTTCAACTTCTAGTGTGTGGTCTGGTCAACATACTTCAGCCACGTTATTGTGACTCATCGCCTGCATTGAGGACGTAGTGTGGATTTTCAAGAAAGGAGATAGATAAGTTGCGTCAAACTATTGCCCAACTTGCTTTACGACTATTGTGGGAAAATCTCTGGCAGAAAAGACATGTCTTCACTAAGGGCCATTCAAGGTTAAGTTTTCATGAAAGTTATCCTAAGAAAACTTCCATGAAATTTCATGAATTCATGGAAGACGTGTCTTCACTGAGGGGTTACCTTGAGGTGCTTCCGGGGCTTAGCGTCCCCGCGGCCCGGTCGTCGACCAGGCCTCCTGGTTGCTGGACTGATCAGCCAGGCTGTTGGACGCGGCTGCTCGCAGCCTGACGTATGAGTCACAGCCTGGTTGATCAGGTATCCTTTGGAGGATACCTGATCAACAGGTATCAGGTATCAGATACCTGATACCTGATGGAGGAGGGCCATTCACGGTTAACCAATTTCTGTCCTTCCTTGCCAGCAGTTGATATTAGCGAAGATTGCCACATTATACACCCCGAGTGTAGCCTTGCATACTGCGCCTCCTGCAAGGCCCGGACTTACACAGGTAGTGGGACGTGTTACTGACGGAAGGAGGTTATCCTAAGTTATATCAGGGCAACCTTACTTAAAATGCAACCGTGTTTAGTGAATGAACAAAGGTTCTTCAGACCATGTATACAGAAAGACCACTAATTACTAGCTTCCCTTGTGAAGAATGATTAAGTAAGCTTAATACACTGTAGTTAGAAAGGCGGAGAGTAAGAGGTGACGACGGATTCAAATTGCTTAAGTTTACATTCATAAAAGACCTGTTTGTGAAGTGATGTTGATTTATGTAACAAGTTATTCTGTAACAAGTTAGCATTCCCCGTGGCGCAGTGGTAAAACACTCACCCGGTGCATCGCAAGCGCTTTGGCCTAGGTTCGTATCCTGGCCGGGTTGGAATGACCGGGTGCCAATCCTTAACCATAGCCTCTGTTCACCCAGCAGTGAATGGGTACCTGGTTGTTAAACGATTTGGCGGGTCGTATTCCAGGGAAAATTAGGATTAAGTACCTGCCCAAACGTTACGAGAATGTAAGAACTCAATAAAAAATTAAGTTATCGATTATTATAACAGTTGTGCGCTCGCTTTATTGTTGCTAGCGTAGGGGAGATATGAAAGTTTGGTGTATAGTTTATAAACAGGAGCTGCATCGTATGGGCCAACAGGCCTACTGCAGAGTCCCCATTTCTATGTTTTTCAGATGGGAAATGAGAAAGGGTGAGAATTATGATGAAATGGACAGAGAGAGAGAGAGAGAGAGAGAGAGAGAGAGAGAGAGAGAGAGAGAGAGAGAGAGAGAGAGAGAGAGAGAGAGAGAGAGAGAGAGAGAGCTATAATTATCGCCAGATACACCATTGAGGCAACGTATTGTTCAGTGCACTGGCTGGTTTTGAGGCGAAACTCTCATGTGTGATGGGGTGACGGGAGAGGTTGACCAGTGAGGGAGAGAATAAAGGGCGAGGAAAGAGGATGAGGGGAAAGGATGAGTGAGGGGAGAGGATGAGTGAGGGCAGAGGATGAGTGAGGGGGAGAGGAAAATGGGTAAATCAAGGATTGAGAAGATGAGTGGGAGAGAAAATTATATGAGTTGAGAGAGGAAGAGCGAGGGAGAGTGAGAAAAGAGAGGGTAAGGGGGGTCGGAATGGAGAGTGAGGGGGTGAGGGAGATAGGGGAGTGTGAGGTAGAGAGCATAAAGAAGAGGGTGAAGGGAAGATTTGGTGTGAGGGCGAAAGAGCGAGGACAGATAAACGGATAAGGTTAGGGTGAGGGTTATGAGGAGAGAGAGAGAGAGAGAGAGAGAGAGAGAGAGAGAGAGAGAGAGAGAGAGAGAGAGAGAGAGAGAGAGAGAGAGAGAGAGAGAGAGAGAGAGAGAGAGAGAGAGAGAGAGAGAGAGAGAGAGAGAGAGAGAGAGACACGCGAGAAGGATAAACAGATGGAAAAGAAGGAAGTGACTGGTGCAGTGATGGGGTGTGGGGTGTGGGGGGGGGGGGGTGGAGAGGTAACTACAATACCCAGAGCAGACAGCATACAAACAACAGTTTGAGTAGTTAGGGAGTGAGGGGCAGCGATCGTAAGACCCCTCCTCCCCCCGAGCTATTCGGTCGTTATCGAGGCTGACGACCCCTTGGGGAACGCGGGAAATTGGCGTGAAGCGCGATAGTCGACAACCAATAGAAAACGGACACGAGCCGCCGCCATGTTCGTTTTCCAGTTCGTTCGCGTCTCACAACGCTGCGTTCACCTCGCCCCTTCACGCCCCCTCCTAAACCTTCTCCACTCTGAACGAGCCAATATGAAACGAATATTTGTCTATGAATGTCGCAAATCCAGGAGCTCCAATGATAAGCATCCCAAATAATTGGATCACTCACACGGGCGGTGATGTTGCTAGTCAATAGCCTCATCGACATGCCCCTTACTATTTTTACCTCATTTAGTAAAAGTAATTTCAAAGCTAATACGGCTTGGCATTTCGGCCAAACTCGGGCAAAATCAATGAAAATTAAGTAAAAAATAATATAAATCGGCAGTGAAATAAGGCCAGAGTAAGGAAGATGGGTTTATACGATATTTTTTCCTGCCATCGTAAAATCTGTCTGTGAAAACTGAAAGGTGTTCGCTGATTGGCTGGTGTGCGTCGGAATGATGGAAGGCGGATGTACGATAAGGAACAAATGGACGGTAATTGACGCAGTGACCGTCGAAGAAACGTGACGGGACTAACTAGTCAATTTTCGCCGCCTTCTTTTTCGACAACTTTCTTCGCTATCTCTTAGCGAGAAATTGTATTTGTTTTAAAATATCTCCGTTTTATATCAGCTTCATCAATGGGCATTTTCCAGCCGGTCCATTTATGTGTATTTAGAAATTTGAGTTGCTACTTTGTGCGTA